CCCCTCGTTTTGATCTTTAGTAGACTTCCTTTTAAATTTGTTAGCTTCCTACACATCAAGGCCTTCCTATGTCTCAGTATTATGCTGCTCAAGGTATCTTTGTGAAGCTTGCTTTAACTGAAGATGTCATTTTTCTAGTTTTGGTTAAGGTAGCTAGGAATTCTTTTGTGCCTTACAACTCTTCATTTTAGAGGCGGCACGTTAATAGGTAGTGTAACGAACTTGCCCGAGCTCTTAGCAACCTTTAATTTTAAAGGAAGCTTTGTTGTGCTCTTTAATGGTGTTAATAGTATAAATGGCAATCCATCAAGGCCTATGTCCTAACCTATCGGTGTCCCTGTGAAGCATTCACCTGCTCCTAACAGTACTGAGTACTTAATAAAGTAGTCAAATTTTCCAAATAGCTCACTCAGGCTATCCTAGACCACTTTAAACCCATCTGATTCTATCATGATTAATCCCCCAGACTAATGTCTCATTTTGAGGGTTGTTTGTTGTCCTTTTTCACAATCTACTGGCTATCAATCTCTGAGCTGCACGTGGTTTCTCCTAGGTGGTACCAAACTACCTTAGAGCTATCCAAGCTTTTTATGTTTTGCCCTTTCGGGCCAATGTCCAACCTTAAATATTTGTTCTTGTTGGATTGGCCTGTAAGTCCTTTTAAGCGGTCCCATACTATTCTTGAGCTCTCTTAAGCTACATCTTCCTTGTTCCAGACATTTCAAGGCCTTCTATCACTCTACCTACTATCATTTCTCCTAGTCCATTATTTGTTGAACTTTATTTTCACCAACATATGGCAAATAGTGGAAATGAATCTTCATCCATGATTATGGATTCCTCCTTTCAGAACTTGAGAACTCCCTTATTGATTCAGTCCTAGATAATGTTCTTAAAGCTCTAACAGGACTTGGTGTTGTGACTTCATGAATGATGGTACTTACAGTACTTTTTCCCTCTCTTCTCCTCTTTTCAGGGAATTTGTGATCAGCAGGAAGTAAGATAAAGTTCTATTTAAGAAATAAATTGAAGATCTCCTCTATTTTAGTGGTGCTAAAGGGGTATTGTACTGCATTCAACATTTTAGGAGTCTCCCCGGCCACCTTTATTAGGGCCAGGCACATGTAGTTGCCTATATTTTTTAGTTTTGCCACTGCTACATCAAGGTCCCTAAAGTAGGTTTTTAACATAGTTTGCCAGTGATGGTCCTCTTCTTTTAATAACTCCTCGTATCGCCATACCTTGGCTGCAAGCTCATAAAAATCCTAAAAATTCATCCCCAGTAACTTCTTTTGGAGTTCTACATCCAGTCCTGCTTGATCCAACTTAATGAATTTAGTTTCTGGAGGCGACAGGTGGCACCTGCTCCTCAGTCGTTTGAACCTCACCAAGTATTGGTTTGCCGTCTCCCCAGTTTGTTAGGTGAGCTTACAGAGTATTGCTATGCTGACCCCTGATTCTACCTTATAGAACTATACATGAAACTTTTACTCCATCTTTATCTAACTAATGATTAAGTTATGGGGTAGTGAAGTATACCATGTGAACACCAAGCCTGTGAGAGAATTCGAGAACAATCTTAGCTTTAAGTTGGTTAAGTTCTCATAGTTAGCAATATCCCTACATTAGATTGTGAACCTCTCAGTGTGCTCTAGGGTGGATTACGTTTTATCTCCTGGGAATAAAGTGAATTCTGGGATCCTATATTCTCGAGGGTATGGTTTGTCCTTGTCTATGTACTCTGGATATGGCTTTGAGAAAGTGGGGTGATTGATTGGCCTCAGCCTCGGTTCGTATATATCCCAGATAGCATCCCTTAGGGCCTTCATGTTCATTAATCAGTTAAGAGGCTTGTTTTGATGGTCTAGGACTATTACTATGCCCCTCGAGCTGCTTGTGTCAAGCTCTTATAAATAATATAAAGGATTATTTAAAGGATTAGTGTTAGCAAAATCTGAGGATTAGGGTAGTCCCTTACAACTAAGCGGTCCCAATGGCAAGCACCAGCATTAATTCCTACCTGCTATCCTTTATGCGGCCCTAGATTTAAAATTGCTTCCAGAGGAGTGCTTCTCAATGATGTGGCTAAATTTTTCATGCCATCATGCAAATTTTGCATCATGATTTGTTGTTGTTCTTTCTCCTTATGTTCTAACATTTCCAGGGATAGGGAAAAGAACTTTTGGTTTTCTTCTAGCTATTTATCCATTCATTTTGACAGTTGAATTTGATTAGTAGGTTTGCTTGTCCACTTCCTGGCTTTAAGCTAAGGCTTGTATTACTGCTTCCTGTCAACATTGGCACTATGTGCTCACGATGTTCAATCACTTCAACATTAGGTATCGATTGCTCTGACCTTGCAAGTGTAGAGGTCTGTTTTGATTTATGAGAACCAGCACCTATTTTATCAGTCCTTTTGTCCTTTCTCATCCTTGCCATCTTTGTTACAGAGGTCCCACCAGGCATGCCAAAAATTATTCATTTGTGAACAATAAATACCAAGCTTGCTAGAGACACTGAGTTTTAATTGATAACAAAATGGTCCCGGGCTCCCTTACTACATTTCACTCGAATGTAAAAGATACACAAGACTTGTTAGAATAAGTGTTTTTGATTTTTATTGAAATGTAAAAAAATTACAATTCTAAATTAAAAGTAAAAACTAACTGCTAAATCTAGAAAGTTATGATTGCAAAGTGTGAGTTTTTGTTGAGTATTGACTGTCCTTCTTTTTAATTTTTTTATGCTATTTATAATGTCAAAGTGATGGTAGCCTTTTCCTTAAGACCTAGAATGTTTTGTTGAAGAATCAGGGATTTGGCAAGACTCATGGCATGGTCTTTACTCAATATTCTCCATTTTTGGCAATCAGCCCATCTCATTGAGATTCTTAGGCACGATGATATTGCTCTCATGGATTTTGGAATCACTTAAGATCATGTCTTTATATGCCAATAGTCTAATGTTTGCAACTGGTGGGATTTTTGTATGTTTATCATATTGTGGCCTTTTATTGAACTCAGGGCTGGCCCTTTTGTTTAGATTGGGCCTGACTCTTTAGTAATTCAGCCTAAGTAGCTTTATAACCTATCGAGTGATGTTTCATATTTTAGCCCAAACACTTCTGTACAATCTCAATTACATTTCTCATTCGCAAATCTCTATACATTTCCCATACACAAATTAAAGCCTCAAAACATTCTTCTTACATACAATTTCCATAAACCAATTTTTTTTCCCATACAAATATCATATATAAAAGTTGCCTTCTACAACCACATATGGTTCTTGATATAAAACATTTTTCTCCAATAGACATATAAGTTGCAATTATAAGAACCATTTCCAAAACATAACTCATAAAGCCTCAACATGGGATTCTCATTCGAAAACCATACAATATTCTCTTTTCAAAACACTACTACACTTAACCGGATTTTCCAAAACCAAATGTTAATAATTTTAATGAATATAAACTTAATAATACTAGGGTTAAACCCAAAATCTTAACATAATATACATGTCAAAACATAGTTCTCAATGCATAAAAGTCTCATTTGCCTTCTCAAATACTACCAAAATACACATCATAAACCAATACCACATTCATATATAGTAAATTAGAAAGTGGTTATCTCAACTCAAATTCAACACAAGAACTTTTGAGACCTCTTACAGAGAGCAATCTCAACTGGTCAACCTATCCAAAGAGGAAAACCAATGATACATCAATCAAACAACAATTCTGAGCTGATTAAAACTTTAATCTAGTTTAGATTAAACACAATCTATTCTTAAATTCATCCTAATTCAACCTAAGTATCATCAATTCCACCAATTAAATTTTAAAACAAGATTAATGGAGTGAACAAATGATATAGAATTAAGCCTGAACTCAATTTAGATTAGAATATAATCCAACCTAGGTCCAACAATTAGAAGATCTCCAATTTCAATCGGTAGTAAGTGAAGAAATCCTAATGTAACAAGTAAATATACGATCTAAGAGCTTACCTTGATTTTCATTCCTCTGCAACCCTAATTTACTTCTAGGGTTTCCAAACCTTTTATAATTCATTTCTAATGATCAAAACACATTCTAACGCTCTTAAACGCTCTCTAGGTTATCCCAAAACTCAAGATGTTACAAACAACACATTTAACTTGTCCAATATATCACGTGTAACCATTCTCATAATTGAAGATATTAATTTTATGTTTGACGAGCTTTTTCTTTTACAAATCAGCAAATCATGGAATGAGAGTAGTAAACATTTACATAAGAGTATAGTGAGTGTTTAGACCAACGCACTAAAGGATATTTGGTCCTCATTTCTGTTTTCCAAATCTTTTAGTCATTATTTAGGTTTGATTCAATATTTTATTCCTTTAATTTTTTTATATAGTAAACAAAGGATTTTAATTAAATGGACTATACATATAAGTTTTTAAATGTTGGAGTTTAAATCTAAAATTCAAATTTAAATCCATGTATCCAAACACCACTTAGAGGTTTTTCTTTATGCAAAATTAACGATCTAAAAAAGAAAGAAAGTTTTATTTCATTTAATTTTAAAGTTAAAGCTGATGATTTTATTTTAAAAAATAAAGTTTCAATGTTAAACCTTACTATAATTTTTGTTACAATAGTTTCTAAATATTCTAATGGATTGAAAATCAAACTTGATCAGGGAAAAACCAAAATTATATATGAACTACGCATTATGAAATTAATATGGACATAGCTGTACTATAATGTAAATGCAGTTTAACATGGATATTGAAACTTAAATCCTTGAATAATTACATCAGATGTTGTAATTCTAATTTTTATAAGTTTTTTTTTTTTTATCGGAATGTTAATTCCTTCAATCACTTCTAAGAACACAAAATAAACACAGATTAATTTATACAATTAATGCCCGCATTTAACTGTTGACAAGAGGATCAAGAATTATGATCCCGTAAGTGTCATTCGCCTTCAACACATGCCCCTTTGGCTACAAGACGGCTTCCAAAACATAGATTTCAACCATTGTATCAGTGTCTGCCAATCTCTGAATATGATGCATGTTACTGAAACAATCATATCGGTTAGGTTTGTTCCATTGTGAAATTGAAACACCCACCTGGAGAAAAACAACAACAATTAATATGCTGACAAACGAAGCTACTAAGTGAAATTACTTGAGCAAAATGGATCATATGTTGATTTAATTAGCAAGATGTGCAGTTTGCATCCAATTCACCAAGATGTGAATTCATTTAATTTTATTGTTTTGCTAATTTAAAATGAAGAATAATAAAATATATATAATTTCAATTATATATAGAAGTGTCAACTTATTAAAGAAACAATATTTAAATTAAAAATAAAAAAATTTATTACTAACTAATGACCGGCCTAAAATATCTTATTATTTGGAGAGTTCATAGGAGGCATGTACCAAATAATATATGGACATGGCTCACTAACCACCATTTATAAAATAGGCAAATTAAGGGCTTATTTGAAACTATTTTGGTTTTAATTTTTTTTAAATTGCTGCTTTATAAAACATGGTCTGAGAACTAAAAAAATAAAAAAAATTTGTATTCTCTCTTATTTTCAAGAACAATAATGCTAGAACACCAAAAAACTGTTTCCATTCTTTTATTTTTTAGAATAATATTTTATTTTTTATTTTCTAAAACACTTTCTGAAAACATTTTTTTTTTGTTATAGAGAATAGAAAATTATCCTAAAACAAGCTGTCAAATAAGCCCTAAATAAATTAAAGATGGTGCAAGAGACATTTCGCGAAAAACAAATATTCCAATAAGTGTGTGTATGTATAACACATCTCCATGAAAGGGGGGGTTTTGAAAAATCCTCATGTAATGTTCGGCAGATAAAAAATTGTTCTCTAGAAGAAAAATTAGGAATGCATCTATCCCATTCTTTGAGGTACATTTTTCATTTTCTTTTTATAAAGTATTTTTTTGGTATACCAAACATATATCTAATGATTTTTTTTTTTTGCTCAGTATAGTTAATGATATTATTACATAGCATAAAAAACAGAATTTCAGTTATAGTAAAACTCATAGCATTAGAAAATATAATTTTCACAGTTGTTAACAATTTGTATCCCAACCAACCTCATCAGCAAAATCCTGGTAAGTCATCCCAAGAGTAACATCCAGAATTGTCATTATAATTTGTTGTTGTGGTTGACATGGGAAACAAAGAAGCAATGGGTTTATTAGTGTCAAGTCCAAAATTATCGTCTGGATTAATGACACTACAAGACTGAACATTATTATTATTATTATTAGAGACTTCTGCATCGTTGTTGCCGGTAGGCCAATCTGAAAGCATCGAAGATAGGTCCTCATTCATGGATTTACTGATCAGGTGTTGTGCTTCATCCTTCGGTTTCAGTTCTGCCACCATAGAAAGCAGATTTGATGATATAAGTAATGGAATCATACAGCACATGAACCGTAGAAACACACGGTCACTGGAGAAAATATGAACATCAACTTAATTAGTGCAAACAATATTAAGCATTTCTAAGAACCTTAGAGAATCCCCCGATTCTAAGCATTTCATATAGAATATTATATTCATGCTAATGTGTGAACAGTGAAGAAACAAGATGCTATCTGATTTAGTTTCTGAGGAGCATTATGAGAATAAGTTGCCATAATTTTCTCCCTTGTGAACACTGTAACTATCCTTTTATAGCTGATATTGATGGGTTTTTTTTTTTTTTCAATTAATTGCTGGTAACTGATACTTCTTCTGTTAAAAAGATATAAGACAAACATTTTTTTTTTTTTGCTAAGGCTATGTTAAAATATATAAGATATTTTGGGTATTTTAAAGTGTAATCAATAATTTTTGTAAGAAATACCCTTAATTAGGAGATATAATTAATAAAGTTTTTTAATTGAGATTTATTAAATAAGAGTAAATATGAAAAGAGTATGTAATTTAAAAAGCAATTAACTAACTTATTGAATAGTATAATTTAACTAAAAATGCCTTGTAATATTCAACGCACAGAGTAAAATTGGTTTTGCCTCTAGCAAATAAACAAACTCTTGATAAACCAAAAGGAGATCAAAATTATAGGGTTTGAGACATACAAAGAAAATAAATTTAGAGTAACTATTAACCTGCATTATTTGAAGACCAGAAAGAAGAGTTAAGAGGCAAATCATCAAAACCTCGATGTCCGTCAAGAACGTTTCTTTCATCTGGACTACAGCAGTAACTTCGTTTCTTCAGTGTCGTCTGGCCAGATGTTAAAGCCTGATGATCAGCTCCAAAGAGAGGATCAGAAGTATTGTTCATTTGCATGTTGTTAACATTATTCCTCTCTTGTTGAATAACATTAACCTGATGGGAAAATTGGTTTGAAGGAAGCTCAAGTTTTACAGGGGACGAATTTGCAAATTGGTTCAGAACTAATCCTCCACGATTATCGTACCCTAAAAATGGAAGAGCCTGCTGCTGCTGATAAATATTAGACAAACCAGAATTAACTTGACCCGTAAACCCGAGTCCAGAAGAATACCCGACAGACTGGTGGGGGAGAGGACAACCCGAGGAAGTACGGAAACGCTTGAATCCCAGTGGGTTACAGAGAATTGGGGCAGGTCGGGTGAAGATGAATGAATGAGGGGACGTGGAAGAAGTAGAAGGAGAAGAAAGAGGAATCATTGGGTCAGAAATGGTGGGTTTAGGCTGTAATGGCGATGAAAGAGGAGAATATTGGGGAGGTAGTGGAGTTGAAGAGACAAAGGAGGATAATGGTAGCGTTGATAAATGGACTCGAATTGTGTAGCGTTATTAGGAAGAGCTGGAGAAGCATTAATGGTGGCTTTGGGTGAGTTGGTGGGACGATGATCAGGTTCATTGGAATAAAGAGGCAGACCTTGTCGTTGACGGCGCTTCACTCTCGTGTTCCAATAATTTTTGATTTCATTGTCTGTACGCCCAGGTAACTGCACCACAAACAAGGGGAATAAATGTCAGTCGCATCGTGATGAAGACACTTCAAATTTCTTTGAATATTTTTTGATTAAAGTATAATTTTAATTTTGGATAAATATATAATATTTTTAAATTGTAAGTTGATTTTAAGAAATTTAATTTTATTTAAAATGTTTATATTAATTTTTCTTCCTGATGTATTTTTATAATTTTCTTTTAAACTTAAAATTTCACGGAAAATAAATTTCTTGTGTTCCGAAAAAATATTGTTTTATTTTCTAATACATTTTTCTGTCTACTTTTAAGTATTTTAATTGTAAATTAATTTGTAGATTTTTTATTTTATTTAAAAATTTCATATGATATGAAAAACTGATATTTAAAATAAAATGATTAGATTCAAATATATATATGGATATATATAGTTTTATAAATTTTTTATAAATTTTTATTGTAGTAATATGGATTTGGATTCGTGAGTAGTCTTTTAATTTCATCAATGCTTAAATTATTAAGAAATTTTTTTTTAAATTTTAAAATAATCCTTATTACCAAAGCACTCCTCAAATGTATTATTTTCTATAAAAATTTAAAATTTGATATTTTTAAAATATTATATAATAAAATCTCTTATAATCATTTAAAATGATTATTATTGTGAGATATCAGTGAAGGTGACTTACTTTCCGGATCCAAATCTACCTATGTGCATGTATCCTACCATCGTATAATTTTAAAATATTAAAAAGTCTACAGACGGGATATTTATTGTATCTGACCCATGTAGCCGCTCCGCGCATCATAGCTTTGGCGTATATCACCTGACAATGCAATGATGAATAATGGAAGAGACTAGTAAAAAAGAGTGCGTACCAACGCAGCCATGCGAGCCCATTTGTTACCAAACTGTGCATGAAGCTCGAGGATGAGCTTCTCTTCCTCGGGAGAGAAAGCTCCTTTTTTCAAATTGGGTCGCAAATGGTTCGCCCATCTCAGCCTACAGCTCTTGCCACAGCGAGCTAGTCCTGTGTTTCTCTGCACCGCATTCCAATTCCCTTCTCCATGCTTTGTCACATACTCTATCAACACTGTGTCCTCCGCCGCCGTCCACGGCCCTTTCTTCAGAACAACTTCTGACGACGACGATGACACCGCGCCATCGCCTCCATTTTCTCCGGTCATCCCAAGTGCCTCGCTTTCATGCTTTACGTCCTCTGTATTGGTCGCCATCAACATGTACGTGCGTACGCACGCTTTCTGAACTGCTTGCTCGTCCACGTTTCTATTTATATTTATTTATTGTATAATGCCAAGTTAGATACAATCATTGATGAGCGAGGGAGGTGGCAGATTATATGGATTGCTAATGCTCGTCCTCATCGTGGTTGACCATGTACGTATCTTTGTGGGAAGGAAGGAAAGAGAAGAGGAAGAAGAATGATTAGAAGCCTGTTTGAGATAGAAATGGAGACGAGTTTTAAGGTCGAATTCCATGGGAGGTTACTACTGGCTTACAGCTCAGTTTTTGAAACCCGTTTGACTGTGAGGAGAAGAACAAAAAGGTGGGAACAATGGAAAATCGATAAAAATGGTAAATTCCAACGCAAAATGACAAGGGTTCGTGATTATTATTTATGGCATTGAAAGCAACATAGAATTTGCAGCCTGTTATTCCTTTTAATCATAGCATCATAATCAACTTAAATTTGGCAAACTACAGGTCTCTTAACATCTGGAAACAACGGGAATTCAACACCCATCGTGGACTGGACTATATGGACTCCCTATTTCGGGCACTAGTCTTTACCAGCCAATATTAATTATTGTTCATGTATTTGGGTCTATATATTATATATCTATTTTATTAGATTTCATGAACTATTGTTTTCCAGGTTTGGGATCCTTTAAAATTGGTGAATTGAATAATTTGCCTCGTTTACATTAATATTTTAGATCTTTCTTTCTCATTATTTTGAATGATTTGGTTTTAATTAAAGAAAACATTTTTTCAACGACAATTTTGAAATAATAATTTAAGATTAAAAGTTGTAAATTTTCAATATTTTATGAGGGATGCTTAATTTAGAGGATTTGAATTGACAATTTCAGTGTAAATTATACAAAACTTTCTTATGAATTTTCATGAATCACAAATTTTAGTGCACTCAATGTTAAATGAGGGATGCTTAATTTAGAAGATTTGAATCGATAATTTTAATATTAAACAGAATTTCTGTTTTCCCTTATATCCATCAAACTATTTCAGTGAGCTAGAGAGGTCTCTCTCTTCTCTTATTCTCTCATGTTAAAACCTCATCACCTCTCTCGCCGTTGATGTTCTGACGTTGGTTTTCTCCCCCATGATTACATTTTAGCTTGCCAAATCTAGGGTTGTTGTCGTCGCCGCTCTTCACAGTGCCAACACCTTTGATGATAGTTGCCTTCTTTCACGCTCGTTGATGATGTCCTATTCATTGCTCGATCTCCATGATTGACATTGTCTTTTAGTCACTGCTATTCCTAGTGTTGACCTGTTATCATTGTTGCCCTCGATCTTACTACCGTTGCACTGTGTGTATCTTTCCCTCCTGATGGACCCATGGCACAGGTGACATAGCATTAATGGCAATGAAGCTTGAGGATGGTAATCATAAGCATGGTGACATAGAAGGAGCCCAATACTTCTAATCCAACGTACCTAAAGACCCATTACAATATATTGGAGGTCCAATGATAAGAGCCCAAACTAAAGCCATGAAGCAAGCCTTGTTCAGTCTTGTGCAAGAAGTTCAAGAGCTTGGAGAGCATTAAGGCACTCCTCTCAAGCCCAAAGGAGAGCATCTATATGTGTATAATGTATTTAAGATCCAAACTCATGAAGAGTCAAGCCCAAGAGATGCAGACCTTAGCCCAATGCAACGAAGACTACAAGTTGAGCCTCTTGCAAGCAAGGAGGCATGAAACTCTAGTAAAGAAGGCAAGGGTGGCGTGATTTTAAATCCTTTATGATCCCTTGATTGTCTTCTAAATTATTTCCTATTTTAATGGTCCTTTGATTTGATTTTCTATTTTGAGTCTAGTCAAAGGTTAGAATTAATTATAGTATTAATTTATAAATTTTGTAATCCCATAATTTTAGGATCACATCTCCTAAATTATGTGGCAAAATATTTTATCATTATTTTATATTATTTCTCCTTTTAGTATTAGGAAATTAGGGTTTTAATTTTAGGAAATATTTTTTTCTATGAGCCTATATAAATTAGACATGCTCCCTATTGTAAACAACACAGAAGTTGAATGAAATTATTCATTTTAGAGTTTATAACTCTTGTGAGCCTTAGTGCTTTGTGGTGGCATCCCGTGTGAGAAACAGACGTGATCAAGAACGTGATCAACTCTTGTGATGTCTTCAAAAGTTGAGGTTCCTAGAGGCAGGTGCTCTAGAGGATCTTCTCCTTAATCATTATCCTACTGTTTACTTCACACCTTTCTTTATTTCCGTTATAAATTTCGTCCATTTCTTTTTGTTCTTGTGTTTTTGTTGTTTCAGGGTTCTGTCCCTAAACTAGCACGATTTTGCTTCCGCGTCCCCTATCAGATTGGCATCAGAGCTTTGGTTGCTAGTTTCGATTTAAATTCTTGTCCTTCCTTCTTCTTTTTCATCTTGAGTTATTTCTTTTTGTGATCATCTCTTATCTACCCTATCTACTTCTATCTTTTGGTTTTTCTCTTCTTCATCTTTGTGACTTTTTATCTTACGTGAGTTTTCATTTTATTAGCCTTCTCAAAAAAAAAAGAGAAAAAAATACCTAGAAATTCATGCAAAAAAAGGCAAAAAAAAGTATTAGTGTGTTGAGGAAAAAAAAAGAGAAAAAAAATCCGAAAATTCAAAAAAATTTACAAAAAAATATATTGCTGTGAGTTATGACTGTAGAAAAAGGCTATTCTTGAACTCCAAGTCACCAAGAGATTGCCTAAAGAGAAAACTCAACTTGGGTGATAAGAAAGTCTTATACGTTGATCACTTTCATATTTTTAATTTTTGGTAGCACTTTTCAAATTCTCTACTCTCTTATTTGCTATTTGTGCTACTCTCTTATTTTATTTAGTTTTTATTTGACTCTTTGACTTTTATTTCTTTCTTTCTTATTTTTGTTGTCACGTGTGGTTTTTCCTTTAACAAGCTTAATTTTATTTAAAAATTTTACTTTCCTATTTGTTTCAAAATTGCAAAAAAAAAAAAAATCCTCTTTTCACCTTGTGCTTGTTTTCTAGTTTCCTTAATTTAAAAGATATTCACTTGATTGTTCCTTAATTTCTTGATTTGTGTTGGTTTTACCATTGGATTCTATCCACAAGTTTAGTGAGTGGTAAAAGGCAAGTGTGTTTTTCATCATTAAAAAAAAAAGCCATTAATTTTTTTTTGTGAAACACGAGTGACTTTATCTTGAGGGTAAACACGTGAGTTTGTGTGTGTGAGGACCTATTTTTATCTTATATGGTTTCTAGTGCTTCTGTGAACATGAGTAATAAGGATGAATCCCCTAGTATCGATATGAACTCTGTTTTAGAACTTATCAAAACACAATTGCAGCAGTTTCGCTTGGAACTTAATCATAGGTTCCATAAAGAAGATAAAGATGAGCCGGAGACTTCCTCTTCTAAAGGAAAGAAGCATAAGATCCCCAGCAATGATAAGGAGTATGAAGAACCCCCTTCTCCTAAGGGAAAGAAATCCTCAAAGCATGGTGTTGACTTATCGGACCAAAAAGTAAAGTATCCTTCATTCAAGGTTAGCAACAATCCAGAAAAATACCTTGATTGGGAAATGAAGATGGACCAAATCTTCATGACTCTTGATTTGTCTGAGTCAAGGAAGGTAAAAACTGCTTCTTTGAATTTCACTGACTATGCTATTTATTGGTGGCAAGATTTACAATACAAAAGAAGCCAACTTGGGAAAAAGCCCATTAAAACGTGGGAGAAGCTTAAAAGGTACTTGAGAAAGGCTTATGTCCCCAGCTACTACTATACAGAGCTGAATAGAAAATTGAGAATGTTTTCTTAAGGATCTATGACAGTGGAGGAGTATGTGCACGAGTTGAATATCTTGAAGTTTCGTGCAAACATTCAAGAAAATGAACGTGAAGCAATGTTAATAATTATGGATGGCTTGAGGCTAGAGTTGAGAGATAAGCTTGACTTGTACACTTTTGTGGACAAGGAAGAGCTCATACACAAGGCTATAAAGTTAGAGTAGAGAAATAAGAACAAACGTTCCAAGTCCTCTTGGAAAGACTCCAAGACAACTTCCAAATGGAAGGATTCCAAAGTCAAAGATACATCCCAGGCTAAGGAAGAAAGAAAGACCAAGTATGAGGGTAAAACTTCTAACCATAAACCTTCTTCTTATTCATCTAACACTTCTCCTATTAAGTGTTTCAAATGTCATGGTGTGGGCCACATGGCGAGATATTGTAGCAATAAAAGGGTTATGATCTTGAGAGATGATGGTGGCTATGATAGTGTGCATGAAAGTGATAAAGATTATGCTGATAATGTTGATGATGATTCCACCTCCCATGAATCAAATGATGAGCTTGAATGCAATGGTGTAGTTGACTCTATCTTGGTGGCAAGAAGAGCTCTCAATATTCAACCAAAGGAGGATGATGAACATGAGCAACGCGAGCATATTTTTCACACTAGATGCTTCATCAAAGAGAAAGTGTGTACCATGGTAATTGATGGTGGTAGTTGCACTAACGTCGCTAGCACTTTACTTGTAGATAAATTATCTTTACCTTTAATTCCACACCCTGAGCCCTACAAATTACAATGGTTGAATGATTCTGCTGAAATTAGGGTTTCTAAGCAAGTGTTGATTACTTTCTCTGTTAGAGTTTATACTTGTGATGTACTATGTGATGTAGCCCCTATGCTTGCTAGACACTTGTTATTAGGTAGGCCTTGGCAGTTTGATAGTAAGGCTACTCATGATGGTTTTAGAAATTGTTACAAGGTGCCTTTTAAAGGCAAGACTGTTGTATTAAATCCTCTTAGGCCCATCCAAGCCTATGAAGATCCACTAAAGATTACTCAAGGTTACAAGCAAAGGAGAGATCTTCTTGATTGTGGCATGAGTGAGAGAGAAAAGAAAGAGAGTATTACTTTACTTGAAAATCAATCAAAAGAGAAGAAAAAGAGTGGTGAGAAGGTGAGAAAAG